TCTACGAGATCTGCTGACCCAGACATCTCAGGATAAGAGGGAGGAAAGATGCTAGTCCCAGGGCTTCCTAAGCAGTTGTGAACTCCTGTGACCTAATGGCAAAGGCCCTGACACTGGATCTTGCTTCTGGTAAGATAGCCAGACCCAATGTCTAAAACTCTAGAGCACTTTCAATGATGACTTAAGTCTAAAAATGTAAGGTCTCAAGCTGTGGCCTGTGCGCCAAATCCAGTCCACTACCTGTTTTTGACAAATACAGTTTATTGAACATGGCCACTCTTGGGCCTTTACATATTGCCTATGGCAACTTTTGTGCTGCAGTGGGACAGTTGAATACTTATGCCAAAGAACATACAGCCCACAGAATCTGAGATATTTCGAGAAAAGTCTCTGATCCTTTAGAGAAAAGGTTTGTTGAGCACAGGCTTAAAAAATAATTAATGGAAACCACCTGAAACACTGATTTTATAAACCTTGATACCATGAGAAATGTAGACTCTAAATGCCTTCATTTTGGACCAATTCTATTTCCGCTGTGGTTAAATTGTTAACATAACTAATACAGGGAGTGAGTGAGTGAGAGACAAAGGATAAATAAAGAGAATGAAACTAGGAACCAGAATGGGGAGGTAGAGAAGTTTTATTACTTAAGAATATTGAATCTGAAGTCAGAACAAGGCTCAGATTCCAGTGCCATTACTGGGTAGGTTGTTCATCCCATAAGCCTCTGCTTGGTTATATCTGAGAAACCTGGAGATGATGTCATCAAGTGGGCAGGGTAGTTGTGGAAGGTCCATGATGAGCTCACAGGTCTAACACCACTCTGCCACCTCAAAAAGGACAGAATGTTTCTTATTAAGCGCACCCAGCATGTATTAAAATGTTCAACAAGTGTGATTCCTACCCAGGAATTATTCTAGGGACCCATAATCATACTTGGGGGCAGGCAGTATCTGGACTAGTCAAAAATGCCTTTCTATCCCAATTAGCTGTTAGGTGCTAATTTGGGTCACCCAAGTGTGACCTTCACCCTGTGTGTGGGCATTGTGTCATACCTAACTAGGGCACACCCTGCTGCTCCCATATACACCACATGGCTGCCTGGGAAGCAGATGGTCTCATGTGTGCAATCCACAGATCCAAGATGACCCGTGGGCAAATGGCAAGGCGTGAGACTTCCACGCTGCAATTCGTGATGGAACATTTGGGATTCTGGGGGGCAAATCTGAAAAGACCAGCTCCCTGTCAGCTGGCAAGTTCTGCCCTGAGAGACGCTGGTGTTTATCTGCCACATCCTTTAGTTTTTATTGCACTCAGTTGCCTTGTATATTTAATGGGGAAATTTACTGAAGTGGTTACTAAGCCATGGGGAGAAGGGGGAGGGGAGAGGGGAGAAGGAGGAAGAAGGGAGAAAGAGTGTGTGGAGGCATTCTCAGACCCTGAAGTTGGCAAAATTGCCTCATTAATCAGACCTGTGCTGGGATGCCATGTTATTCATGTTTAGGGCATTAAAACTTGAAGCTAAAATTTTAGCAGAGGTAATTTGAGTACATGCAGCCTGTCTCTCCATAATAGATTTATGGTGTTTACTCAACAAGGGATAGGAACTTTCAGGGAAAGAAATATTTTTCCCTCCCTCTTTTCAAAATGCATTGTCAGCCCACAGTGACCAAGTTCCCAATTTTTGTGTGAGTGTATAGAGCTTTAAAAAAAAAAAAGTCTCGAGGTGATAAGAGCAGACCTTCTCGCTGATCTTCCCTATTGTGAGCCCAGTTGAAGAAGGGACAGGTGTGAGCTATCAGAGCATGATGGCGGCTTGACGTCCCTGCTAGTCCATACAGCTGAATTAGGAACACCTGCGCCTTGGCTGCCCACAGGGAGGGACTGTGGGAGTTTGGGCTGGAAGCCTCCGCGTTCCTGGCTGAGGGCTTCTTGGGTACATTGTGGTTACAGTTTTGGTCCAGATTGCTGGAGACCAGAAAGTGAGGACTCCCCCATGGCCAGTTTTTCACACCTCCTTCCCACAAGGAAGAATGTCTTTCCCCATCAGTCCAGGCAGAGGTTCCTTTAGGAGAGACATGGCTGCTCAGAAGGGAACTTCTTTCCAGAAGGGGATTTCTTTGCCATGCAGCGTGCGTAACTCTCATCCCACTTTTGACAAAGTGGCTGAGAACAGAGAAGTGTGCTGATGTGAAAGTGGGGTGTCCATTTCTCATCGCCTCTGTGTGGTGGTGCTGCAGGGGTGGGCAGGGACAGGGTCCCAGGTTGGTCACACCAGCTGAGTCTAACTTTGCCTTGGCCTGGTGTGCTGGTGATGAATTGGGAACAAAAATATCAACACATGGAATTGTTTCACAAATTAAGTAAGCATTTTTAAGAAATTTAGTTTAACATACTCATTGTGAGCATCAGCTTGTGGCTTCCCAGCAGAGTCATTTTGGGGCAAGTTGCTCACCCACTCCGAGTCTCCTTTTCGCTCTTAAAATGGGGACAAGTTGTTACCTGCCTCACTGGACCACAGCTGAGTGTGTGTAAGTGCTTTCTAGAACAATATATGTTCATAGATTTTCAATAAATACTGGATTTCTGCCTCAGTTTGATGGAAAGAGGCATTTCTCCTTGATGTCCCTGGTTCAGCTTTACAGAAACAGAATTTGTACTTCTGAGGAAGCAGAGGTTGTACTTTATGCTGAAGTCAGAAACACTGGCATAAGTCGAGCTAAAACCTTTGTGTTTACACAGGCTGTAGGGAGAGCTCAGTGACACCACAGTGTGTTACTCAGATAGAGGATCTGAAAGTTCTGCCTAAAGCGAACACCATAATTTCACAACCTCCTTCATTTTTTCAAAACAGAGTCTGGCTTTCCAGTACTTATGTGAGTGTGTGTGTGTGTGTGTGTTCTGTCATCTAACCCAGTGTGGTCCAACAGATTCAAACTAGCACTACTTAACCCCTCTTCTGTAAACACTAGAATTTCCCTATTTGAACTAAATATAAGAAACATGAAGTTAAACTCAAAGCAACAGTTTCCCTCCCTGCACCCTGACTTGCTATACTGGGGAAGCAAGTCTGGGACTGGGGTTGGCAGAAGAGAACTGAAGATATTTCGAAGATGACCCGCACTTACAAGTTTTAATTATTGGGCAAGAGCTATTTACCAATGGAAGGGTTACTTTCAAATCTACCTTTCTCACAAGGGGGCCTGTTCAAGCACACACACACACACACAAGTGTTTGTGTCGTTTAACAAAGAACTTTCAAGATAGAACAGACACACAAACACGGGTGGGAGCTGTGTCCTGTCTTTGCCCTTAAAACTCCTGCATTCCATCTTCTGGCTGGAGAGCCTGCGACTGAGTCTTTAACTAGAAGCAATTATACTAGAGTCAACCAGCCAAAAAAGAAGACAACAGCACCCCCATAACAAAATGACTTTTTCAAGATTATAAACGCATCTTAGAACTGCACTCATTTTTTCCAATTTAAATAATTTGAAATGAATCAAGGAGGAAAGGCTGGCACTAACCACAGGCAAATGAGTTTCTCAACAATTTTGAGATAGCCTAGCCTTACAAATAAATTCCCAGCCAGCTTCACAATGAGGGACACTCTTCTCAACTAGAAAGCTTGCAGAAAAGAAACTCCTAAGAATTTACCTGCTGTCTCCTCTTGCCTGCTCTAGGAGAGAGGCTTGCACAGAGCGCTTGGAATGTACAGAACAGTTTACTAAGTGGGGCCAGTCCCAGCCTTCCAGAACTAAACGCACAAGGACATTGCAAGGACCCAGACCATGACTTATTTTTCCACAGAAGGGACTCATGTGTATGTTCCTAACATTTAAAGAGGTAATGTGCCTGGAGAACAAGAAGGGGTGTTTTATAAGCAAAGATTTGGGTGATTAGGAGTATAAGGTCAATCAGATAAAGATATTATACACATAGTTTGAATTTTAGCTAATTAATTTATTTGGAAAGGAAAAGGAGGGCAATGGACGGTATTAGGACTTGGTTTCCCATGAACTGCTTCTCTTAAAACACTTTGTGGTCTATTTCAATCCCATCTTTTAAAAGGTGCAATTGTTTTGTGTTCTAGCAACACTGCTGGAAATATTTATTCTTAATGTCCACAGTGTCCCTGCCAATGGAAGCATTTTTTGACAGCTCGCCTTTCCAGCCTTCAACAAACACAAATGTGGTGAGGGGACTAGTAGGCATGGGGAGAGTTGACCAAGACTGGGCCCATCGGGTTTGTGACTCCTAAGCAAACTCCCGTGGCTGTCACAGTATTGACAAGACTACACGCTTAGGATAGACATGGCTTCTTCTGTCTCCCACTATTTCAAAGCACCTTACAGATCTCGTGCTCTGCAAAAGTCCATGAGGTTTGAAAGCCAACAAGTCATTCTTCATTTGACAGTTAGGGAAATTACAGGGCAGAGGTTAGACGACACCTCAAGTGCAAGTCAGTGCTAGAACCCAGGCATTACTGGCTGTTCTCCTTTGTCACAACGTATTTTTGCCCAACCCATTTTTTTTTTTAAAGTTTATTTTTACATCATTTTGCACATTTTTTTTTCATCTCCATTGTAATCCCCACGGGTTTCCCATCACCAAATCACCCCTGTGCCACCACCATAGTCCCGTGCATTTCCCTCCCTTCCCCCCGCCCCCCGTTTTTGGTCCCATTCCCCACTCCACCCCCACAGAATGTCTCTGGTCTATGGTTGTTCATTATTTTTGTTATTTTCTCGCCTGGTCCATTATACTCCTGCTATGAGTGAAACCATCCGGTATTTTTCTTTCTCTTTCTGGCTTATCTCACTAAGCATGATCTTTTCCAGCTCCATCCAAGTTGCTGCAAAAGACATGTGTTTCTCTTTTTTGGTTGCTGAGTAATATTCCATTGTATATATGTACCACATCTTTCTAATCCAGTCATCTACTTTTGCCCAACCCATTTTTATAAACAGTATTTGTAGACAAAAGCAGTTGTTAGTCACCTGTCCAGAGAAAGAAAGGTAAGTCCTCGGCTATCACAGAGATGTCTTCAGAGTCACTTTTTGCTGCCAGACTTCAGCTGTCTCTGTCTTTCCATTTCAGTATCTCAGAAGCTGCCATGAGGGAAATGGAGTGAGGGTCCATGTGTAACGAGGCTCAGCAAGGAAATGGGGTGAGGATTTCTAATTAGAAACAAAAATTAGTTTGGGTTAGTTGTTTTTCTTGTCTCAGAAACTTTCTACTGTGTGACTTTCTATTGTTTGGTAAGTTTTGCTGCTTTTAAGGGGGAACAATTAAGTGTCCTAAAGTGTTTCTTTTTTTTTCTCATAAATTAAAATAAAGTCATTTTTTGGTGCTAAGTGTCTCCTAAAGTAGCGTTAAGAAGCAGAATCATGAGGTTTTCAACCATGCACAAGACTGACAATTAGCTAATAAAAATCCTTTCCCCCATTTCCTCAAAAGTCAGTTCTCAGAAAAACAATTCATTTACTGTACGTACCCTGTTTACCAGCAAGGTTAAAAGTTCAGGAAAAGAAAGACAGCAAAATATTTACATTAAAGCCAGTTGAGGCCCCTATACCGTGTGGGGCTCTGTAGTTCTGGGGCTGGGCCCTTGGCACGATTGTGGCAGCCACGAAAGCAGAGCTGTGACCCACGGGTGCTCTCCCCACCACTCCCTGCCCTCTGCTTCCCCCCAGACAGCTGCCTCTGCCTCCCCTGCTTTCTAGACTTTTTCTTCCTTTTGATATTTTATATTTTATGGGTTACTTCACTAGGACCCATTTGGAGTGTTTTTACTGATGACATATTTCTACTATCTCTTGACCCAGGCATGGTCTTTCAGAAACTTCTCAATTTTAATGGACTAAATAATGATAACATTCACCACCTGTTGAATCTGTGCTTAGTGCCCCGGATTATACTCAGTGCTTTCATGCATTTTGGCAAACTCCCTCCTAGGTGGGTGTGGTAGGCATCACTGTGCCTTGTCGATGGATTTGGAAACAGCCTCAGAGACCAGACAACTTGCCAGAGACCGTGCAGTCCAGAACTGGGCATGTATCACCAAATTCTCTAATTGATGGAGTTTCCATTTCCCCCAAGCCCCAAAGAAGAAGTCTTACAGTGACTGTGTCTTTGAGGATGTTCCTGGGTCGCTCCTGCCTCAGGAAGAGGCATGTTAAGAAAAGCCAAGTGGCCTTTCGCTAATCTGAGCAATGCACTTCCAGGGTGTCAGCAGCAGAGAGAGGGGCCGGGGACACACGGGCAGGGGTGGCAGCGACCAAGCCTCCCAGCCCGCCCTTGACCAGTGGTCATGCAGAGGTACAGCCATGACCCAGTAGGTGGGGCCCTGCCGTCTGATCAGGAGCAGCAGGCATCCTGGCAAGGTCAACAGGAGATGGCACTGGAATGGCGTCTTTCTTTTTTTCCGACACAGACCCTGGGCAGGAAGCTGGGCCGGGGGCCTCCTCACATGCCCCTATGTTTGCTGCCAGGACAGAAGGAAGGGGCTTCTGTCCTGGTGAGTGCTCTGAGCACATTCTGCCTAGCGTCCTACGGCATTGCAGCTTCTCACTTGGTACAAGGACGCAGCCCACACTGTTCACAGCAGATGAATGAGTCCTGCTCTCAAGGGCCTCAGCACCCATGTTTACCCAGCCTGGCTGCCATCACTGTTCCTCCCCACAGCACTGATGCCATGGCTGGAGCAGCTTCCCCAGCATGCCCTGCAGGCAGAGTCCTTCCCTCCCTGGAGACACGTGGAACTCTGCAGGGGATGAAGGGAGCCTGTGACACACCCCGACGGAGCACGCCTCTTCTCTCCCTCACTCACACTCAAGACACACACACAGGTGTCTCACCCATATCCGACCCACTACTCACACAAACACCCACTCACCACCTGCACGACCACACACACCTACATGCATGCACGCACACCACACAGGTGCACACATATAACAGGCTCCTCCGCACCCTCCACCCTAGTGTCCACAAATAACACTCCACAGATACCACACTTACACCACACTCACAGGTGCTTATGCACCAGATGCCACATGTGGCCACTCACAAAGCTCTCATGCCACACACACACAAACCAAACACACACGCAGGAGATGCAGACACCTGTGATCCCACAAAATGTGTCATTTCCACATCCAGACATGTAACACACATGTACACACCACGTGCCCTCCTACAGCAACATCCACCTGTGTCCCCTGCCTATACACCGCCACACACCTGTACCCAGGCACTTACATTCATTCACTTGTACACAACACACGGACACCTGCACACACACACACACCCTACACACACACACAAACACTGAACACGCACACCATGCACATGTATCCTCCATACATACCACACATGCACACAGGGTTGTCCCCCAACACACACACACATACATACCACACATACCACATACACACAAACACTGCACACACACACCATGCAAATGCAACCTCCACGCATACCACACGTGCACACAGGGTTGTCCCCTCATCCTCACTCTCCCGTTGTTGACTCTGTTTATGGCAGGGCAGTCCTGCCAGAACTGTAGCAGGGTCACCAAACACCCTTCCTCCTGAAGGAGACATTGGTGAATCAAGGAGATTCCTAATGATTGTAAGGAGAGCCTTTAGGAAATTAGAGAACAGACCTCAGTGACCAAATCATTTGTTGCCCAAACCAAGACATCACTGAGCATGAACGGCAGAGCTGAGAGAAAGCAACGGTCCATGGTCTCCTAGAGGGACCGGACGCTCATCACCGCCATGTTCTGCTGCTGTTTGTGGTTCCAACGGCAAAGCTACTGTAGCAGGGGCTGGCAAGGGCTGGAGGCAGAAGCTAACTGTTGGGATAATTTATTTCCTCTCTGTTTCTTCCTCCTCAGATGGCTGCCAGGACCCCTTCTGCTGGTGTGACTCTTCATGGTTTCTTAGCCCTCTTTCCTCTCTATCTTGTTGACATTCAAAGGGCCCCAGTAGTTGAGGGCTGGAGGTTTGCCCAAGGCCTCAGAGCCTCAGACTGTGCCCCAACCCCCTTTGCTCCTCAGAAGAATAAAGACCAAATTCACTTCATTCGCATTTGTTCACCACCTACGTGAGACAGGCACATGTAGGGCTCTGGAGGTAAAATGTGTCACCACAGAGCCTTGACCTCAAGGGGCTCAGAGAGCAGAGCTAGCAGCTGTACTCACCCATCTCCAGGGGATCGAGCTAAAATGCAGATTCTGGTGCTAAGGAGCCAGGGTGGGGTCTTTGTTTCTGTGACCCACAGACCACACTTTGAATACCAGGCAGTTGTCAGAATACAAATTTGGTGATGTCCCAGCCTCTGTCTAGGGCCCTCACTCACGCCAAAGGGTGCAGGACCAACATGGCTGCCCCTGTTTAAGGCCGAGAAGGCTCAGTGACTGCCCCTCCAGAGCAAGAAGGCAAGCTGAGGGCCCAGCAGCGGGCATTCAGCTTTCTAATCTCCCCCACTTTCGGCTATGCTGTGGGGCCTTCCTTCCAACTGTTGCTTACCATTCACAGTCCTTTTAAAGGAAAAAAATGGGCCCTCCCTGCTGGCGCAACAGGTTAGGATGCAGCACTGCAAGCAAGCCGCAGCCACTTAAGTGCATGGTGGACCCCGGAGGTGACCCACGTGGCGTGGCAGACCTCTCCTATTTCTTGCCTGCTGCTCGCCCCCAGCAGAGTATTTCAGTCAATCAGCCTGTTCTGCTCCCCACTCTGTCGCTGGTGAATCCTCTCACCAACCCTGCACCCCTGGCCTATACCCCAGCTCTGTATGCCTAAATAAATAAATATTTTTTTAAAATAAAGGGGAAAAAATGGTGTTTTCTGTTCCACAGTTATAATGCATAAAGAGGAAGTACGATGGAGACATGATGCAGGCTGGATAGTGCTGGATTAAAATCCAGAATGCACCAGCACTAGTTTTATGATTTTGAGCAAATTGAACTTCAGTTTTCTTAACTGAAACAACAAGCTAATAATCCCACCTCTGGAGTCTGTTAGGAGGACTGGAAATAGCATGATGAACCATGAATGTTGTGTCTGAAGCAAACCAGAGACTCAGAGGAAGCTAGGAGTACTCTACAGGTGCAATTTTATTAATCCAGCTACGGTGGCAAACACTACTCAACATGCAGCATTTGGAGTCCAAGGGAGGGAGGCAGGGGACTCAGGCTACAGAGAGGGAGATGAAATCTGGCTCCCTATAGCTGTCAATTTGGCTCTTGAGATCCTGCTAAGTCACGTAGAAGAGAGAAACAGACCCATGACACAGAAGCGATAGCATCATGCCTAGGTGGCCCTCCAGCAGGTACTCCAACCCAGTGTTTGAAGGCATCAGTCCTACCTGATTTAGGACATTCCCCAGGCTGACTCCCTTTTACTGGATAAAGGCAAATGTGGCTCAAACATACTTCAGTAGTAACAAAAAGACCTCTAAATCTAGACATTTCAAGTACAGACATTTGTCAGAAAATCTCAGCAGTATGTTAAGGCTGGCTTAGACTATCACACCTTCACTGATTTCGTCAACACCTCTCAAAGAATCCAGCACGTGGATTCATGTGAATAAAGACGATCCCAGCTGTTTCAGTTCAGTGTGTTTCTGAGCCGGATATTCCCACATGGAACAAGGGAGCAAAGTGGGTTGTTTCCAACTCAGTTCTCTTTCCCACCAGATTCGTTCTCTTTTGCTAGCATCTCTGATACAATGAGAACATGTGGATCAGACCACATTAAGAGGGAGATCCCAGAGGCCAAAGCAGGGACCCCCGCAGTTTACCACCTCAGCCTGGGGTTGGACACAGAGTCCTGGGCTTCACCCTTTTTTGCTGTGCTTAAAGAATGTGTAGATCTAACTTGCAGACATCTTAGAAATGCTGGAGTGACAGGAAAGGGACCTGGAAGGCTGGATATGAGCAAATACCACCACCACTTTCCAAACGAATGGTTCAAACACTGAGGAACAGTCACCCGGTTTCCAGGCAGGCCCAGAAGTGACATGAGACAAGGTGGCCAAGCATCTGGGAAGAAAGTGGTGGTCTCTAAGAGGCAACACCAGTTCTCTGAGAGAAAGTCATTCCAAGCTAACCTCATTTCCTGTTTTGACGAGCTTCACCAGAACAGTCGATTAGGGGAATGCCCCAGAAAGTGTGTCTTGCTTTCAGTAAAGCATCTGAAAACCTCTCATCGTATCCTATGTACATAAGATACAAAAGATGGTACAGATGATGGTTTGAACGGGAGACACAGCTAGTAAGCAGTCATCTCGGGGGTCAGCTCAGGATTTCGGCCAGCCCTGCACCTTCAGCAGCTGAAGGTGGACACATCATTCCTGAAAGCTCTGTTGGGTAGCATTGTCTTTCCCTGGTAAGTGTGGTTTGAAAGGATTCTCTGTAGTTCCATACGCAAAGGAGCATGAGGAGGCCAAGGTGACAATTCTCACCTGTGGGGCTTTGCATCAGTTATTTCTCTGGAAAAAGCAGGAACATCCCCCACAGAGAGCAATAGGGCCCTGTCTGTGCTCTGTCTCACTGGTCATTTTCAAAATAATTTGGAGAGACAAACTGAAGCTATATTTGTCAAATTCCTCACACAAAACCTCTAAGGAAAAAATGTTCCCCAAGAATCAAGTCACCGGAGTCAGGAATCTGAGATGAAACAAGACAGAACCCAAGTGAGGTTTCTATGAATCCATTGGTAGGATACAAAAGCCAGGGGACATTCGAATCTGGGTATGACAAAAAAAAAAAAAAAAAAAAAAACTTCTGAGTCTTCACCTTTACTTTTTAATTCTTTCCATAAGATCAAGCTCTTTCTCAGGGTGTTAGACAGGCACTGAAATCTCTTCTCTACTTACGTGAGAGCCTTGTTGTGAGGACAAAATAAGTCAGAGACAGTAAAGTGCTTTGAAAAAGGGAAAGCTCTGAAATTCAAAATAGTATTATTATTTGTTGTAAGGTGCTTTCCCTCCAAAAAAGAAAAAAAAAATATGACAGTCTACAAGTGATTAGCAGAAAATGATTCAGCTTTGGCTTCAGTTTCTCGAGATCTATCTAACCCCAACTTAGCTGAGTTTGCTGAGAGGCCTAATTGGCTCATTTCAAAGGCCTGAACTCCCCCAGACTCCTCTCTGGCAATTACATTTTCAAAATTTCATCCAGGAAGGCAACCTTCCCACTGACCTCCATTCGGGATAACAGTAATTAAATAATCACACATGGGGTTCCTTTTCCAGGGCTGAAAAGTGAGTGAATGCCAGGTGATGGCGTCAGGCCTTAGACTGATTTGGCGGGTATTTGAAATGCTTTTCTATCCTAACATGTAAAGCTTTGCGAGCAAGTGGCTCTCACTGCTCTTCAAGATGAACAATATGTAGCAGACCCAAGACAGGACAGCAGGCCTTCGTCAAGTTAACACACAGATGATAATGTCCCTCTCCTTTCAGGTTCAGGGTAATTTCACTTGAGAGTTACAGGCCTCGAAGTTACCCCGAGTGGGTACACTAGCCTGATCTGTCTGGTGGCACTTTCTGTAATGACACAGGTGTTCTGTCTCTGCAGTCCAACATGGCAACCACCGGTCAAGGTACTGGTACATTTACATTTAAATTAATTAAAATAAAAAGGAATTTATGATTCAGGTTCTTGGGAAAACAAAAAGGAATTAAAAATTCAGTTGAGCCACATTTTCTATGCCTACATGTGGCTAGAGGCTGCCATAATAGAGGCAACACAGTCCAAATGTTCTGTCGTGGCTATTTTTTAGAATTACTTGGAGGTGTTTTTTAAAAAAATATTGCTGTCTTCCCCTTCCAGATTCTGATGTGATTGTTGCTGACAGATCCTGGACATCTGGGTGTTAAAAAAACTCCTGGGTCCTATCTCTGTCTGGTCAGAACCACGTTATCCGTTCTCTTTTACTGTTTCTCCTTTTATCCTCATGAACTATTGATAAATATCTTGCACCATATGAGTCATTTCTGCTTCTCTCTGAGTCTGTGACCTCCACTTTTCTAAGTGATAAATACCTGAGTGGCTTAGTCTTTGGAAAGAGGAAGAGGATTCCCTTCAGTCTTCTTCAAAGGCACAGGCAAGGGGCAAACAGGTGGGAGGAGATATTCTAAACCAACCAGATTCCCTTTTCCCAGCAGGGTATGTCCAGAGGGGCGAGTTGGGTCTCTAAGTGCCCCACCGAGCTCATCTGCAAACCTGTATGGGGCTGGGGTTCCTGGGTGCTCTCTGGGGCTTGGTCTCCACTGCCCAGGCCATCTCTGCGGCATGGCCTCCTTTTCTCCTAGACCCTGGAGAAATGGATCCAGCAGAAGTGGCTCTATGACGTTTAAAACATAAAAGAATCTCAGGGCATAACAGAATCTTAGAATTTTGTTAACAAAAGTGGCTTCTGGAGAAGTGAGGTGATAACCTCTGTGCAGGAACTGGCAGAGCGAGGAAAACACTGCTTTCCAGATGCCTCACTGGGAAGACACCGCTCCAGGAACAGAAATTAATAAATGTTAACTTGAGGACAGAGCTTGGTTTCTGATGAGGATCTGATGTCGTCAGACAGCAGTGGGAAGCCTTTTCTAGGGGTGGGATCCTAGCACTTTAACCACCCCATTCACTTGTCACCTCATCACTGGTTAATGGAGATAGTTTCCACATTCACCCAACAGTGGTGAGAATACCAGGCTTCTTCACACCTACTCCATGAGAAGCCACAAGACCATGGATCTAATCACACAATTACTGAATGCTGGGGCTGGGGCCAGACTGGGGTCAGACAGATAGAACCTGCCTTTATCAAGCTGTCAACTGAAGGGCAGTTTAGAGGCAGACAACTAATTAATGAATGAACTGCCAGGGTAATTGCTGCTATTGGTAAGTTTTGTGAAGAAAATAAAATAGGGTCATGAGGCAGAAAGAAATGTTGGTGGGGGGTTCCTCTCAGGACGTGACAGTCAGAGCGCCCCTCCCTGAGGGGGCCATCGGGCCTGACCTGGGTCTGCACTGTGACACACAGCAGTGAGCTGAGGGGGCCCTCATGGTGTACAGACTAATTCTGAAAGTGTGAACTAGGATCATGTAGTCTTTTTAATTGTTCGTAGACACCCACTAATCATAAAACGAAGACGGACAGTAAGAGCTAGCAGGGAAATATGAATGACCTTTTGCCAGGTTGTAGGAGGCTCAAGCTGTACTGCTTGGGGAAGAGAGTGGGACTTGGTCAAAGGAAGGCTTTGCCATCTACCTATTTTCAAAAATATGTAGCTGGCACCTCTGGGGGTTGGGTCCGAAGTGGGCTTCTGAATAAATGACAGTGCTGGCCAGCACAGCCCTCCCCTGTGCTTTGTGAGCAAAGACCCCACAATGCCCACTAGGAAGGGACACGATGCCACCCACTGCTGTGTCTTGAGAACCTCACACAAAGAAGTCATTGTGGAAGGGACACGTGAGTGGTGACCAAATGTGGAGGGGGATGAAAGAGGGCAGTTGAGTAGACAGAGGTCTCCACCAGGTAGTTCAAGGTTGGCAATGATTCTGGAGTATAGCCTATGATAGTTAGGGGGTCCTCGTGGTGTACAGATTAACTCTGAGAATTGGTTATTTACCTATTTATAAGCTGTTAAGTAGGTAGAAAGGGAAATGTCCAGATGTCTTCCAGTGTTTTCTCCAATGTCAACACGCCAATACTGATCTAAAGAGGCTTTCAAAAGAAGTAAAAGTTCAGGTCAGATGAGACCAAGGAATACAAAACTCAAGGTCAACACCCTTGTGAAGATGCCATCACACCTGTGTGACATGGCAGCGCTCACTCACGCTCCTCTACAAATTAACCCTAAAGATTCCTCTGTAGCCTCTGTGCAATGTTGACACACAGCTAAGAAACAAACAATTCCGTTTTCTTTGGTGTTACTTTTAATGAAAGAAGCAATAGAGGCAAACAGGGAGAGGCCAGCTAACAGGAGACCAGACCAGACCACAGACACTTTACCGGCGACTGGGGTAATGCTTGTCCACCTGCTTGTCCACCACTGTCAGGACCGGGTCCCGGGGCAAAGCCTTTCCCTGCATTCCGACTGCGGGCAGTGGGCAGCAGACAGAGGTGCGGGTGGGGGCCGAGTCCTGCTTTTGTGTGTCTGTGTCATTTTCGATCAAGTGTGTCATCGAGCTTCCTGTTTCATCTCCCAGTTATTCTGAAACAAAAACATGCATGAAAACACAGGTCAACCACACTGAGAGACATCCAGTACATGGAAACCGAAAAGGTAAATGCCACAGTAAGCCGGGGAATCAAACTTATCAGCATCTATTCAAATAGTGATCATCAACACAAAAATTGCGGGTGGGGATGGGTCAGTAGGCAGGGCAGCTATTTTAAAATAATTCAGAAGAGAGTGACAAGACAGATGTTCTCAGGAGCTCACTGCCTGTTGACTAAAAACCCAAAGTCAGTTCTGACCCTGTGCTTGGGGTCTCCTCGGGGTGCACTCTGAGTCTGGCCCCGCACATGCTCCTGTGGGCCCAGCTGAGGAGTTACCCAGGTTTGCAGGACAGTCCTGAGCCTCCCACCCCAGCCAGTGAAGACGGACAAGGAGGACAGCAGCTGAGCTTCTGGGCCCCGCTCCTCACCTCCCCCCGCTGCAGGGGATGTGCTCCCCCAGGTACATCAAAGCAACACAAGCAGACAGACCTGTGCTCAGCAGCCTCAGGAGACAGAGAGAAGGAAAGATTGAAAAGGGTCTCCTGAGCCAAGCTGAGGACAGCACACGATTCCACTAAAAACTGCTTTGCCTCTTAGACCAATATGGCTTGGCACCCAAGCTACACCTTGCTTGAGGATGCTCTTCCGTATGTCCTCAAAATAAGTGAAAGGATGCCCCTACAGACACAGGTCAATTCGAAAACACCATGGCATCCTCTCTCTGAAGTCCACACTGCAGCCCTACTGCAAGTTTGCATGGAAGGTGGCTGTCAGGGAGCTGTGGGAGGCGGGGAGGGCTGGGGCTGTGCTGCTGCTCAGGTGAAAGCCAAGCTGCTGCTACTCCTGGCGTCCTCTGACCACACCGAGTCACGCATGGCTCTTCCGGCCATCACGGGTACCCTGACGTCACCTTCCCCACCACATGCACCCGTCCAAGATGCGCCCACGAGTGCTCCAAGCAAGCCGGCGGCCCCGACCTTCACTATTTCTTCACTTTTATTAATGGCACAAATTTCTCTGTGAAAAGGAGATTTTAGAAGAGTTCCACCCTGACCCTGGAAATCCACTCACATTGCACACTAGCACTCAGGAGACCCTGAGCTATTAAGAAATAAAGAAAGCCTGTGAAGTCGGGGGTTGGGTGTTTCCCAAACCTATCTGGAGCAGAACTCCTTTTCACACACTAGCCTCCGCTGGTGGCAGAATTCAGCTGATCCAGCCCAGCCTGGGAGCTCTTCCCGCACGGCTTCCCCGTCAGAGAGCAAAGCTTCCCTTTAAACCTAGAGACCTCGCTGTCCCGACACTTGCGTGGGATCTGTGCAACTTGTATTTATTTCTTGAAATGCTGCTTTGTTTTTCCCCAACATCTTCCCCTGGTGGCTTTACGACGATTAGATGATTCACACAAATTCCTACTGTCTTTATTTTTTCCTCAATAGTCTCATTTGCCAATGCTAATGAAACATGAGGCTTTTCCGAGGGGTGGCTCCTGACTTAGTGGTACTAACATTCCCAGGAGAATGCTGCCCAGAAAACCAGTCCACTGATTTATGTCCTATGAGCTAGAATTTTCTAGAATGGTTGAAAATCCAGCATCTGTGTCCAAGATTTCATAAGCATAGTCTTGCTGGGTAGGTGAAGAAAAACAGGAACTAAGAAGTACATCGTGGCAGACATGGGTGGAAGGGGGAACCTGGTTCCTTTAGTTCACCATCGAAAGAAGGGTGGCTTAGGAACCCGGACTCTCCTCCAATTACCCACTTCTGGGTGCAAGGCAAAACCAAAGTGCAACACCCAGACAGCCCTGCGGTATGGAACCCCAAACATGTGGAGTTTGACCAAAACCATGAGAGGAGGCAGGACTTTCAGGACCATCTGGTCAACCCTTCATTTACCAGGCAAACAGAGGGAAAGAGTTGGCGAACTTCCTAAGGCACACTGGATGGAGCACTGCTGGCACTGACATTTGGGTTTCCCCTACCTACTCCATAGATTCTAACTTCTAGCTTTCCTCTGCAAAGCCTCACCTATCTTGAAGCTATTGCATGGATGCTATTGTCTGGAAGCTATTACATGGACGAGTCAAATCCTGAATGACTCACTGTTTGCCTGGCTGTCTAGTGAAACCCAAGAAACCCAAGTTAATCCAGGAATTCTAAAAGATTTGCCCCAACTTTTGAACTGCTCATACAGATGACTTCCCGTCTGTATGCTGGGAGATACTGGAAGTAGGTGGAGAGCCCCAGGAGCTTCTGGGACAGCCCTAGAGGAGTTTCTGCCCACATGGGAGGCCACTCTTAGTGCCGTCTTAGCTGGCTATGCTATTTCTGTAGGTTTCTGTTATTTGAGAGGCTCTAGTTATGTCTCCCAACTGGGGATACACAATTTTGCTTTCATTTGGGTCTGAGGAGTGTTCTTGGGGTCCTGGAGCTTCACATACATAACACAGAATAGAATTCCACCTCAGGTAATTGAAATGCAATTTCCCCATCACTTCTGAAATCGCACCCTTCATGTTCTTAATGGCACAGAGGAAAGATTCCCATCATGGAGACTGAAAAGGGGAGAAGAGATCAGCTCCCCTAACCCCCACCCCAGACTGAGTGGACACCAGACAGAGCACTTTATCCCTCACTTTGACAGAAGCCTCAACCTTTCAAGCAGTAAGGACCAGAGTAAAGGGAAGGGAGACTGTGGCCTCAGTTTACTGTCATATCCAAGGCACTGCCATAGCTAACTGCAGAGAGGCCACAGCTGAGTCCCCATCACCACATGCAAAACACACCAGAGCCCATTCTGCACCCAGGTGGCAGAAGAGCAGTGATGACCCCAGCACTCACATCCTGCTCATGTTTACTCACATTGGATTTGGGCAGTGCTGGAAGCCAACTTTTTGAGATTCCACAAGTTTTCTGAAAGGATAAGGTGAGCTCCCCGACACTAAGTTACCCAGGCCTCGGGAGTCCACTGTTTTGATTTCTCAGATTTAAACTTCCAGGGGGAAGGAAAGTGTTTCCTGCTTATCTCACACTAGTTTTTAGGGATAATGACATGGGTCCCCAGGGCAAATAATCAGGCTTTTGTGCTACCTGATGCCAGGACAGGAGAGAGACAGAGGAAGTTACACTTGGGGACCCTTTTTCTACTGTTTCTGAACAGGGCTCCCATTTCTAGACCTAAAGCCATGTAACTCTGAGCAGTTTTACAGCCTTTCCTGAGGGGACCTCCCCTGAGAAGCAGATTTTGCAAAGTGTTCTGCGCATTCCAGACCTACCCAAGGTTCAGAAAGACTCCGTGTCCTTCTACTCCCCTGTGGCCTGACTACCAGCCTTCTCCAAGGCCATGCCAGAGCACATGCAGCTTTTTGTGACTTTCATTTATTCAGCACATCCCAGACTCCAAAGGCTGTTCCCAAGGAAGGCTCACATTCCAGCATCACATCGACCCTGTCAGGTCGGTGCTGTTGAAATCATCTCTCTCCCCTGGAAAGGAGTCAGCAATGAGCAGACAATGGAGGCGCTCAGTTTTCCACCCAGCATCCTGACCAAGAAGATCTGCTGCTGCCCCTGGGATGAACAGGAGCCCACACATATTCCTTTGAAACACTCTGCTACTTCTTAGAGTAGCAAACAGCCTGACCCATCCAAACCCCCTCACCCATGAGGATCTTGGAAGTTTGCCCCCTTTTGGTATTTGAGGTAGCTATTTAACATCTCCCTCTGTTTATGCAGAAGTGAAAGAAGAGATAGGGTGGGTGCCCAAGGGCTGACCATCACAAGGTTATTTCCTGGCCCAGAACTTGACCCCTCTCACCTTGGTGACTTTCTCCATCCACAACTCAGGGCCCACTTTCCAGAGAACTAAACCTCAAAAGCATGTTATATCCGCAGTTTGGTTGACAATGTGAAAGGCCAAAGCCACAGGTAATCTTGCTGTACACTTACTGGGAGATGTCTCGGGGTTTCTGAATGGCTGGTTTTCCTTGAGGGTTGTGCTAGGCCAGAATAGGAACACAGTACCAGAAGAAATAGAGATGACCCATAGCCTCTATCAGACATGATCTTGGTCACTCCACTGCCTCCTGGCCTGTGGCCATAATAAGTATAGTGCTCAACAAGTTTCTCTGGTCAGGTAGAATCTCATTGCCTGAGGATTTATTACAAATGTAAGTTTGGGCCCTCCCTGGTGGTGCAGCAGGTTAAAGCTCAGCACTATGAAGCTACCACAGCTACTACAGCATGAGTTCGATCTCTAGTCAGGGAGCTGACCCACATGGTGTAGCAGACCTCTCCTGTCTTGCCCATTGCTCCCCTCAGCAGTGTGTTTCAGTACATCTGCCCGTTCAGCTCCCCATTCTGTCTCTGGTGAATCCTCTCACCCCGACGCCCCCCCACCCCGGCCCATGCCTTGGGCCTGTACCCCACTGTATGTATACATAAGTAAATCCTTAAAAAAAAAAAAAAAAAAAA